TCTGATGATAGTTCGTGGTACAGAATGTTAAACATCTTCTCTTTTTTTTGTAGAATCAATTGTTAAACTTTCCCACTTATCTGAAGACATCACAAAGTTTTAGTTGGTTAAATTTTTCTTTTTAAAGGTAAAAATACGAAGAAATCTATTTAAAACATCATTAGTTCGTGAGAAATTTCTACATAAATTACAGTAGACCCCTCCCTATAACACTGTTGATAATTCCGTGTTATATGAATTCCATGTTGTACTAGTCACTTAGATTTTATAAATACGAGTGCCGGGCTGTGAATGGCTCACGTATTTGTAAAATCTAAGTGACTCGTACAACATGGAATTCATATAACGCCGAATTATCGACAGTGTTATAGGGGGGTCTACCGTACTGTACAAAATGGAAAATGATTATACAATTTTCTAAATTCTTAAATGAAGCACATTAAGCATTGCTTTTATTTATCTTCAGCAAAATGTCTACCATTTGATTCTTTTTTATATCGTTATATTATTTCATAAATTGCAATTATTTCGTGCAATTATCGATTAGGAGCAACTTCAGAATCCTTTAATCCTTAACGTGATTACCAATTCAAGAAAGAAGACTTAATGGTTCTAAAAAGCTCTACGCTTATATATATAAATTATTTTATAATTCTTTTTCTGAATTGATTTCATTTTAATTATATTATGAAATTTTTCTCTTTCTAATACTAAGATTACTTTTAGTTTTTATTTTCACTTGATAATGACTTTTTCTCACAATAGTTTCTATGTCATAATACAAAAAAATACTGCAAATTTATTAAGAACTATTATAATAAGTCTATACATCTCTTCCTTATCCTTTACTCTTTTTCTTTCTTAAAACTGTAGGATAAATCCTTAGTTAGTAGTCTCTTGAATGCCTAGATGATGCCCTTTTTCTTCTCAACGGGCCCTTTCTCAATTATTTTTATACAAATAAAATATATAANCAGTATGTAACACATTAAAAAAAAAACAGTTAACACTTCCTGTAGTATCTGATAGTGAATATGAAAGATAGAGATCATAAAAATGTCAAAAGAAAAGATTAAAATAGTTTTATTTATTGGTAATTTTGAAGGTTTTTCTGTCTTGGATTACAATTTCTCGATAATAATATCTCACTATGGTTTGAGATGATGAGATTTCTGATGATAGTTCGTGGTACAGAATGTTAAACATCATCTCTTTTTTTTTGTAGAATCAATTGTTAAACTTTCCCACTTATCTGAAGACATCACAAAGTTTTAGTTGGTTAAATTTTTCTTTTTAAAGATAAAAATACGAAGAAATCTATTTAAAACATCATTAGTTCGTGAGAAATTTCTACATAAATTACAGTAGACCCCTCCCTATAACACTGTTGATAATTCCGTGTTATATGAATTCCATGTTGTACTAGTCACTTAGATTTTATAAATACGAGTGCCGGGCTGTGAATGGCTCACGTATTTGTAAAATCTAAGTGACTCGTACAACATGGAATTCATATAACGCCGAATTATCGACAATGTTATAGGGGGGTCTACCGTACTGTACAAAATGGAAAATGATTATACAATTTTCTAAATTCTTAAATGAAGCACATTAAGCATTGCTTTTATTTATCTTCAGCAAAATGTCTACCATTTGATTCTTTTTTATATCGTTATATTATTTCATAAATTGCAATTATTTCGTGCAATTATCGATTAGGAGCAACTTCAGAATCCTTTAATCCTTAACGTGATTACCAATTCAAGAAAGAAGACTTAATGGTTCTAAAAAGCTCTACGCTTATATATATAAATTATTTTATAATTCTTTTTCTGAATTGATTTCATTTTAATTATATTATGAAATTTTTCTCTTTCTAATACTAAGATTACTTTTAGTTTTTATTTTCACTTGATAATGACTTTTTCTCACAATAGTTTCTATGTCATAATACAAAAAAATACTGCAAATTTATTAAGAACTATTATAATAAGTCTATACATCTCTTCCTTATCCTTTACTCTTTTTCTTTCTTAAAACTGTAGGATAAATCCTTAGTTAGTAGTCTCTTGAATGCCTAGATGATGCCCTTTTTCTTCTCAACGGGCCCTTTCTCAATTATTTTTATACAAATAAAATATATAAATGTTTATTAATGAAAAGTCCTCTTAAATATTTTATTTTTTTTTAGTAAAAATAACATTAAGGACCTCCAAATTTTTCTCCAAGCCTGGAGAATAATCTCCAGCTTCCTCCACTCGAAGACACTGGGCCTTCACCTTCTAATAATAATAATAATAATAGTGAGAATAGCCATGATTTATTATATTAAATAATAAATTTTATTAAAAATTTAAACCATATTTTATAAAATTATTGATCAAAACTAACTTTTTATTACTGGTATTTAAGAGAAAAAAGTATTAAGGACATTTTCATATATATTAATAGTCTAATATTTGCTATTATATGTGTTGTAATGTCTTCTATAAATCATTTTGTTTAAGCATATGACAGAATTAATGGAGGAAAAATATGAGATATTAATTAAATTTGACAGTACTTGATGATGATGTTATATTATAGATAATTCTCAATTGCAATTAAACTTAACACGTCAAAGTTATTAATTAAACTCGTGACTTTTTCAATTCTTATCCATGAATTTTGTTCCTCAAGCAGTATTATTTCTTCCTTTGTTTTAGCAACGAAATAGGTCAGAGGTTATATCAATGAAACCGTTGGTTTTCTTTTAAATACTACATACGAAATCAATTCTACTATTCAATATTCAGTTTAAAATTAATTATAGAAAATTTTCTAGTTGACAAAGCATGGAGACAAATGATTACACCAATACAGTTATATTACTTCACCCTCTCGACCATATCTTAATCAATTTTAAGATCTATAATTTGTGGAATTTTTCACTGGATTTTGGGAAGAACAGTGCCTTTTTTTGGTCCCCTCTGAGGAGATCTAAACACGTGAATAAATAAAGATAGAAAAATTGGCTTCTTATACCAGGACTTTGTTGATTTTACCACCTCTCATTCACACGCTACGATGTTATATAACGGGTTTATTAAGTTTTCTCTTGCTGCTAGGATCAATAATACCCAGTTTTGTTGTATTCTTCAGGAACAAATTGTAGAAGTTAACACGTACTTCTTAATAAAATTTTCCTAATGGAATTATTGGTTTTTATAATGAAATTAGTTACCATTCCTGAGGTAAGTTTTTATAAAAGTATAATTTAATGATGTAATTAATTAACAAAGTTAATTAATCGAAGTATTATTTTTAAGAGATGTTTATATTAGGTTTATTAATTTAATATTTAATAAAAGAGTTACTTATTTAAATATTTAAAACTACATTTTAGCTTTAATCTTCTTTTTCGAAATTCAATTTTACAGTGCAAATAATCTCAAGTTTCACATCTTTAATGCCTGAGTTGACTGAATTTGTGTGAATTATTTAATATGAATTAAATATGTTATATAAACTCTATATAGAGTCGTATATATGATTTTTATTTCTTGTGTCTTAGGGGCTAATGCAAAAAAGTATAAAGAAAATTAAAAAATATATTTATAATTTATTATTTTATTATTTAATACCATAAATGTATACAAAGATTTATTATAAGAAGTTAAATTTTTGTAAAAGTTTTAATGCTCTGAAGAACTATGGGGGCGGTGACGTTCCTCGTCTTGGCACTAGCCACCCTCACTCACGCGTTTTGTCTCTTAGTGTAAGGTGTATGTCGTGTTTCTCTCAACTGTTATTATTAACGTCTATAAAACACAATATGGTAATGTGAATAACTGTATTTTACTGTAGTCTAAATACTATACATATACTGCATCATATACTGTACTTATACTGTATTGTTTCACTCTGCAATTGAGTTGAAATTTGAAAAAATTGTAGACCTGTAAATCCCCACTGTCGTCCATTTGTATGAATTTTCGCTTTGGTCTTAGATTCGTGTTATTTCAATTCAAATCTTTCCCCCTAAAAGGAGATAGATAGCTTACCTGCAAGACTCTATTGTTAAAGGAAAAGTATGATGTACAGGAGGAGCAAGCCACTGCTAATTTGAGGTGGAGAGCATATATTTTACATTGAATAAATTAAAAATATGGCTAAAAATTGCTGTCTGACATTGTGGTTTACATTTATAAAACGCAGTTTTACAGTACAGTATATTATTTTACAGTACAATCGCGCTAATTCGAACTAATTGAAATCAGTGGTAGTTTAGATTCATGAAAAGTTCGGATTAGCGGATTATGGTATTGGGATATGATGCTTACGCTTCGAAGCTATTTTCTTTACTGTTGTAAGATACTTTACGGCAGCAAATAAAGGTTAGAATTGTTGTTAAGTCAAACAGAATAACAGAAAGAATGAGCAACGATGCTCACAACACGTGTCTTATTTTTATTTTATACGTGAGTTGCAAGTTTACAGTTGACAAGTTCTTTATTTTTGTACAGGAAATGGTAGATGTTTGGATTAGCGCAATCGTACTGTACTTTATTTTGTGTTAAGAGTATTAAGAGTTAATGTTTGCGAATATGTTTGCAATTTTTCACTTTAGTGAGATTCCTGCCCTCTAACTCTTACAAAATTAATGGTTATAGTGACCCAATGCTGTATATTTTTCCACCAGTTGTCTAGTGAATAACACCACTAAAACACTGGTACGGTTGCGGTTTTGCGAGTAGTCACATGGAATTTTTCGTGTTTTTTTCACGTGCCTAACATCTAAATAAGGGTCAGTTTCCTATAGAATGTCATTCTATTTATATTAATTTTTATGTATATTATATTAATTTAGTACTTTTCTTTAAAAGACGATTTACTTTGATTAATATTTACAATGTTTTTGATGTCATTAAACATTTAAATTCTAACTTATAGAGTGACTGATTTCTACAATTGCCTGAGTATATTTGCTGTGGTTTTATGGTATTTGTATATTACTATAGGTAACGTCTCCTACTGATTTACTACACGCAGTAGTAGCACTTTACGATACGTGTCTACCGGACTTAACGGCTCAAGTTCTGTATAGGATCGTTTGTGTGGAAGGAGCAAGGACACTTTTTCTTCTTCGAGAAACTTCAGGTATAGAGTCATAAATCTTATTTTTAGCGATATTTTTTTATACTTAAAATACATTTTTCTATAGAAATTCTCAAGGAATGGGAAAATCAGATAATTAGTAGTCCAAGCTTTCGTTCTAGAGAAGATTCTATAGGAGGTAAGAATACAATTATTTTTCATTATAACGTTCTAATAAAATGCATTAAAAATAAGGTTTAAAAGTAGTTTATTTTATGAAAATCACTCTTAAAAATTTAAATTTTAGTAAAAGTTTAAGTATATATAAACTTTTAGTAAAAATGAAGTTAAAATCGTGAATGTATATATGAATTTTATGTTAATTTTTAAACGTGATTTTCATACAATCAATTTGAAAATAAAGGTAATCTATAGGCTTCTATGCAATGTCATAAAGTTAAGTAGCCATGTTTAATTTTATTAAGAAAATTCCTTGATTAATATCGTCCAATTTTTAAACAAATTAATCCTTAAAGGATTACACAAAGGGTGACCAAACCTTGTCACAATAGGAGCCATATATCGCTTATTAGAAGTACGTAAAAGCATTAGAAATAAGTTTAAAAAATTTTTATGAGGGTAAATTTTTAAAGAATAAAAGAATAGTCGTAATGGGAAAATAACGTGACTTTGTTTTTATTGATCTACTTTTTTTTTTTACTTTTTAAGAAATCAACAACAATCCTGATACAGCACAAGATGATAGAAGAATTCCCGATAATAACGTGACAAATACTCAATACCAGAATAGATCTTCAACATCCACTCCTAAAAATCATACAGGAGATGATGATCGGAGTAACTGTGCCATTTCTCCAATTCAGGATGATTGGAAACTATGGACATCGAGGTACGTTTATGTTTCGATACTTGGCATTTATATAATTCAATTAATAAATTCTACATGTATCATAAATTGTATTGTACACAGAATTGTATTAAGAAATAAACTTCGGACATTTAAGATGAATTTTAAATTAAATGAAATCAAATTGGTTATATTAAATAAAACATTGCTTTACTTAATATACACTTGGATGATTTGTCAATAGAAGTACAGTACCTCACAGAAGGACTTCCTGTGGGAAATTGACACCTATTTAGGTATAAAACACAAAAATAAAACAAAAAATACACGATGGTCAGATCAAAAAAGACACACCAACGGACTGGCCACGTGTTTTTTTGGGTTTTCTTCTCGTGTTTTCTCGGTTCTTTTGTAATATAATAAATGTATTATTTTATGTAATAAATGTTTAGATTGTTTCTTAATTTAACATTTTTCGTCAGCAGAAATAGAAAAAGTGAGGAATGTGCTATTGAAAGAAACGTCTTCCAGAATAGAAACAATATGATTTCAGTTCCACGTAGTGATAGTGGAAAAACAGACGGAAATTCACACACAGAATCGCCTTTTTCTGATATTTTTAGTGATTCTGTTGATACCGGATCCGAAAGGTATTAACATTTATAACATTTTATATATTTTAATATTAATTTTTAATGTTATATTCTTCTTCCTTCTCTATATAGTTAATTAGTTTTACTACTAATTTCATTTAAAAAGTGAGCTTTATTTGCAGTGATATGGAAGAAGACGACTACCACGATGACTTTTCTAGGGGGTTAGAAACATTCCTTAGATCAGTCGTCACTAGAAGAAAAGAATCTCGAATAGCCCAAGAAACTTACAGCCTCTTGCCTTCTCATGTTGGAATTGAACACAAATTAATAGCTTCAGCTACTTTCCATAAAAATTATAAGTATGACACAATCCTTCTTCAATTGGTAATTATTCATAATATGATTTCTAACCCATACATTCATAAAATACGTAGAATTCCTGGCGTAAAAGTTGTCAATTTGTCATTATTGACCGTCCGTAAACGTTACAGAAAATGTGGCATTGGAAGATATTTTCTGAAGGTATTTTTCTTGTTATGTAAATGCCTGAAAGTATTTTATGTACAGGTACAGTGTATGTTACGAAATCGGCAGTTTGTATGGTGCTTCGTGTTACATAAAGCATGGACATTCAACAAAAGAGGAAGAGTTCTTAAAGCAGAATTATTTCTATTACATTTTATATTATTTTACAAAAGAAAAGACAATGAGAATGATCCCCAATTGTTACTCTCCAATGTTCTTTTGCGAATGTAAAGGGGTACTGTGAGGATTTCATGACATTCACTGTACGTATGTATGTATTATGAATTAAATATAAAAGAAATTTTGTATTTTTTTTTCCTTTAGAAACTAAAAAATCCCTCACAAGTTGGTCCATATGATGCATTAGTTGTTCAAGCAAAAAATTACTCGCAAAATTTCTTTAAAAAGAACGATTTCACGGATGATATCATTTTATGTAGTCGATTCTGGTAAAGATAGATTATAATTAATTACAGTTATAAAATTAAGAAAAATATTAAGTGTTTTCAACATTTTTTCAACAAAATGTTCACTTTTATTAATAACTTGTGTAGAATTTCTATATTATTAATTAATTAACATAAAACTTTTTTGACAGTGATTTAGAAGAAAGAAGAGAAAATACTACTATTTTATGTTATTTACCACCTTTCGATGGTAAAATATTAAAAAAGTAGTTTATGAAATTTTATAAAATATTTTAATTTATAATTAATATTTTCAATAAAACAGGACATTATCCACCACTTCCTGGTGTGTATGACTGGGATAAACCTGAATCTCTGACTGCTATGCAGGATGAAATTGAAAAATGGTAAGAGAAATTATGATCATTTTAGTAGAATTTTTTCAAATAATTTTAAATATAACACCTTAATTTCCTTTTCTAATCTATAAAGAAAATTTTAACATCTTGTGTTCTTTCACTCTTTCCTCTCTACAAACACTAAGACGACCTTTTCTCATACCCTTTATTTGTTGTTCCCATTTATTACTTTAAAATTTATAATACTTATAATAGTTGTTCCCATTTATTACTTTAAAATTTATAATACTTATAATACAGTAGAGCATCGTTTATCCGAATATCGGTTATCCGAAACGTCGGTTAACCGAAAGCATTCCAGTCGGCAAATTTAAATTTTCGATAGTGCTGTGGCGCTGCAATCTTTGGCTATATCTTTGGCAACTCCAATATTCTTTTGTTGGTGTGTGTGTGTGTGTTTTAGCTGGCAGCACTGGCACTTTTGTGTGGTGTTTTTCTGAGGACTGTGTGTAGTGCTGAATCGAACGTTTTTGATACTAGATCAACTTCTAAAGTATAATTTTTTTTTGTTTTTATATTTTTGGATATATTTATTTTGTTTGTAAAGAATAAAGAAATAATTTTTAACGATACAATAGACACGATTATTATTTTAAAAAGTTTACATTAGGCTTAACTACAACGAAAATTCAATGCGAAGCGACACGCAACGGAGAAAAATTACAACACGGGATAGGTTAATATATTTTTTCGTACGTAATCGGTTATCCGAAAAATAAGTTATCCGAACAACCCCAGTTCCCAATTGATTCGGATAAACGACGCTCTACTGTAGTTGTTCCCATTTATAATACTTTAAATTTTTTCTTAATTATTATTACACAGGAGACAGAAGAGTTTGGAATCTTATCAGTCACATTTTACGTGTTTAACTCGTCTTCAACAGGAAGTTCTGAGACTACACAATCTAGTAAACACAATTTAATAAATTTAATAAGATTTAATGGTATTTAACTTAATAATTTAATATTATTTTTTATAGTTAAGGCGACAAGAAACAACTATAACATTTCTTAAAAAAGAAAATTACATACTTCAGGCAAGATTATCAAGAGGTAAATGTAATTTTTATTAATAAAAATAAAGCTGTTCTAAGCAATACTCTAACTAAATAAATCTTTGATAATTCATTTATCTGTAATGTTAATTGATTAAAAAATTTAAATGTAATTCTTTTTTAAAATACTTTATGAATATTTTGTAAGGAAACATTTTTCTTTTAATAAATTCATGAAAAATTTATATTTATAAATAGAATGTGTCAAGATTAAATCATTTTATTAAATATAAAATCTTATTAAAACTTTAATAGTTCGGTTGAAGTTTTTTTTTTAAAAATTAAACATTCAAAATATTCTCTTTCATATGAAAATATTATAATGAAACGAATAAATAACTTCATTCATATGTAAGTATCTTATTGAATTGAATTTGTTGAAGATTATTATAACACATTTCGTTATTTTTAATGTAACCTTATTTAATTTCATATGAAAGTAATGTATTGGTAAAATTTTAATGGTAGAGATGTGTTTTATAAATATTTCTAAATGATAATAACGGATAAAATCGTCATTAATTCCGACCCTACTCGAGATATGAAGAATGATTCTCTTAATCTCCTCACCCTCTTGACCTTTAACCACCAAAATTGAACCGCATTAATCTTCCTAAAATACAAATTTCCTTGCAAAATTTCATAAATTTTAGACAAAAATCAAAGGATTTATTAAGCTTTAAATAGGGTGAACAAAATCGTGCTCTACACGTGTATATCCATACATACATACACTAACATTAATACATACTAAAAAAATTAATTTTTTGCATTTATTTACGACTGAAGATGCCTTAAGTCCAAAAATGTATACATTTTGGGTCATTTTTTTCGACCGATCTCCATACTTTTGCTCTGTTATATATATAACAAAGCCAGGAAAGTAATAAATAATTATTTTAATTGATACAATAACAAATTTGGGAATGTTATACAATTTACCACGCGTGTTTACTTTGTTGTTCAGTCACTTATAAGTAGTAAAATGTGTTTTACTGTATGTAAAATCGTCTTCTAACTAAATATGCATTTGAATGTTTTCCTTCTATTATAGTGTAAACATTAGCACGTCTGTGAATGTTAAACATTCCCGTCAAAGTAACACACATAAAATGGTCTGTGTTTTGTATGGGGATTTTATATTATTCTGTTCAATATGAGATTTAATATGAATGTCATTAATTACATTAAAGGTATTAATTTAATTTAGTATATAATTACATATTTGACTTTAGATTACCATTTAATGATGCTTCTGAGTTTTTTTTCCTACTGAAATTCTTTTTATATATGAAGTTATTGTTAAAAAAAATTCAATATTATCACAAAAATCATATTGTTTTACTCGAAATAACTCTTTAAAAAAAGACATTTAAAATAACGTAATTATTTGTTTTAATAATACAATAACACGTCCAAATGTACTGTATACGTTTGTAACTTCAATTAACTACTTTATAACAATTTTCTAACTCAATGATAGGCAAACTGGAGAATTCCCTCGAAGGGAGTTACTAAAACACGCATTGTAATGGTAATTTCAGTTTATTTTCAATAAAATTACAAGCATTTATAAGTGTTTATAACTGTAGAAAATTTACTGTTTTATTCATATTAACATTGATACATTTTTTTTCATACGAATTGGGAATAGGGATGTTAATGTTAACTCTATAAAATTTTTCCCCAAATAATATCATATAATTTTTATTCTTTTATCCTTTGCCTGCTAACCTTTTCTTTTTAAAGATAATTTATCGTCTTTTCTTATTATTTAATTTAAATTTATCTTATAATTATCCTTATATAATCAGTACACTACCGGGATCTTCTCTCCTCTTCCTCATCCCCCTCCTCTCTTCCTTTAACCTAGACAATTAAATAAGCTCTACTCCTAATAAATAATAATAATTTTTTTAAAAAAGTATATGAATTTTATTTAATTTTCTAAGTAATATTCTTAATTAAATTGTTTTTAAATTTTTTATGTAAATTTTCCAACTTATAAGTAATACGTTTTCCATTTCAGTGGAAAGAAAGTCAGTCCATAGCCTGATAGAAACATTTGAAAAAGATGAAGAAGAGTTCCAACGTTTATGTTCATTAACATTAAAAACGACTTGATTCTATACAAAAAAAATATATTTTTTTTCCTCGAAATTTAATATATTTTATGTATGTTGGTTACCTTAATGATTCGATCGATCAGTGATAAAGTATCGAGTGGTTGTACTTTAAATACTTTATATACCGTTTATTTGGAGTGTATTTTATCTTAATTATGCCTCAAATTGATGTGGGCCAACTTATAAAAATTTTAAACTGAGCCTTAATAATTGTATATAAAGAAGAGCTTCAGAATCTATTATAAAATATGTATCTAAACACGTGTGTAATTATTAAATGGAAATAATTTTTTAAAATAAATTTTAAACGTCTAAATTGGAAGATAAATTATGGAATATTTTAAAAATATAATTATAATAATGAATTATTCAACTTATAACTTTGTCATTGTACACGCTCTTGATGTAACAATATGTAAATATTACATAAAAAATTAATCAATTATTAATAAATAACCAATCGTTGTTCACGTAATCAATGTGACAATGTTGAAGTATTATTTAAATAATAATTATATTTATTATCTTTAATATTATAAATTATATTGTGTATACATATATATAGATTATATATTTGTTAATGATTAAAAACAAAAATTTTGTCTAAATAATTATAAATATTTTATATATTTTTGGAAATATAATGTTGTTACTAAAACTTTTCTGCTCTATTAACTTGTTCTTGAATATTTTATTCTTATTCTATTATACATTTTCCAAGATTCATACAAAAATAAACACGAAATATAATTAATTTTTATAAAAATATATTAATAATTTCTTAAAAACATTTATAATGTATTAATCATTTAAGTATATATTATAAAAACATAAAAAAATTTCAAAAATTTCCTGTTTTATTTCCATAATTCCCAGTCTCTCACTAACCCACAGCCCCATTGTTATCGTGACTTAATGCATAATGGGCCCGAAAAAAGTCCTATTAATAAAAAAAGAGCTATTATTTATTGTGAAATTGTCACAATACCGGGCTGCAATTTTTTGTCACAATGCTCTCAATTTTAGTAGTGTATTTCCCCTGTAAATCATACTTTTCCTGTTAACAGTAGACTCATGCGGGTCATCTATCTAACTGCGATTAGGAGAAAATTTTTGAATTAAAATAATGTGACTGGAATTAAAGTAACCTTCAAACTTGAGGGTCTTCTATAGTTAATCGAGGCCTCCTGCCCCTATGCTTTCTATTTTTGTTGTCAAATTTTATCTATAACACTTATTTCTCGGGATTAAAGAAAGACAGTTAGACAAATCGACGAATGACAGTGGTAATTTATAAGTCTACAATTTTTGCAAATTGCAGCCCAATAAAACTGCAAGCAATTATTACATGTAATATTCTATTATCGTAAAACTTTTATGCAATTATTTTAATTGTATCGTATATATATTGTAATAAATAATAAATTATGCTTAAAATATACATTAATAAATACATATATATTATATTTTCATTTTAACACCTAAATAGGTGCCAGTTTCACATAGAAAGTCCTCCTGAAATGTACTCACTACGGGCGATCTTGGCAGATGTTGCGTGGCCTTATTCCATCAACTACTCTATCCTTGAATACACGTTGAATATTATATCTTATTACTGTAATCTATAATAATCTAATTAGTTATTGTTTGTTTATTTATTGTAAATTTAGCTATATTAGCTATATTTAGAATTTAGAGAAGTACCAACGTCGTTGAAGTACAGTATTAAGAGAATGTCAAAATAAAATCTGTGTAAAATTCTAATACATAACGTTTTATAAAAATTTAATTATTATTCATACTGCAGTTCATGTAGTGAAGTAATTTTTACACATAATAATTGGATAGTAATTATTATTCTATCTTGACAGCGTTGAAATGAATTGTTTTCAAGGAGAACTATATATAACACGCTACCTATAAAGTATCGATTATTCTAAAATTTTCATAGGGTGAGTGAAAAGGACAGCCTATATTTGTTCATGAATGAGGTAACACTACTACTTTTCTAAGTTTCTGTATAAAATAAATTCAAGACTTATCTGCCTATTTAGTATATATTAAGAACCTACAATAGCATTGAAAAGCAACATCTTTTTCTTTTCCAAAAAGTAAATTCATGTTTAATGTAATTAAATTTTATAGAAGAACAACGACAATGTCATTTTAAGTAATTTCGAAGGTGAATATTTATTTTAATTTCAGTTGAAATAGACGTAAACAAAATTTTCTTGAGATAAGCTTAAAGGTATTATTCAGATATTCCAACAAATTTGAATTTGCCAACAATTCTGTGTTGAATTGCTCTCCAAACCTAAACAAATTTTGTTAAACATGTTTACTAATCTCTAGATTATGGAGAAATTTTATAATCGACAATTAGATTTCTCCCTAAACTCATAATGATCCTTAAGATCTTTACATATTACTTGTTTCGTTGATGCGTTATAGGAAAACTTTCCAACTATTGACGTTATTATGTCTGTATGGTGCATAATTTGTTAACTTAAGGGAAATGAATTAGTAGTGATTTTTCGTGATTATTTTCTCGATTTTTTAACACATATATACTGTATTTGAAATACGACGAAAGCACAGAACTGAATATATGCCACGATAAATAACTTTTCCTGCTATTCAAAGCCAGCTGAAAGTATATTCAGAGGCTTCAATTTCTACTTCTTTTAGTCATAAATCTTTTCTATTTTGATATGAAATTTCGTACATATAACTCTTCGATACACACAATTCCTTATAATTATTATTCTACAAGAATTATATTTTCATAAATTTTAGTGATCCATACAATTAATGGTAGATAGTGGGAATGGAAAATACCTCTTTCCTATTTCCTTGCATTCTCTTTATTTCTTACTTCTTGTAATTATTTAAACTAAACTATTTCTTGCAAAGCCTGCAATATTTTCTACAACCCATTGTTTAAATACTGACAAGGAATGTAAAAAGTTAATTTGTCAATAACCCTCATAAATTTTCGTTGACAATTCAAAAATTCAATGACAGGAATAAACGTGACGAAGAGGAGTTTCAGATAGAAAGGAGAGCGAAGTGCCAAGCCTCAGAGAAAGTCCTCCTCATCTTCTTTGCTCTGTAGAAGATATCCTAATTGTACCAATTGAAAAGAGAAGTTTCTGCTTTGTAGTTTTAAACCGTAAACTTCAAGAAATGGGGATAAAATCATATTTACTTTGTCAGAATTATAGAATTAACATCTCCAGAACCATTGCTTAAATACAGTATTTATAAACGGATTCCTTAGCCTAGTGATTACCCTGAATTTTCTATTACTTGAAAAATTCGTATAAAATTAATAAATATAATTTTCAAAATTCTGAACCGTGTGTTAATAAAAGAATTATATATGTTTCTAACGCAAAAATCTTTTTGGTTCTATCTACTTCCGTTTTCGAGAATTTTTCGAAAGTATTTCCCATAGAAAAAGCATTAAATTTTAAACATCATCTGTTGGACTTTGTGTGCATAGCTGAAATGCTACAGTATGTCTTAAATAATTGTGTTTTTATCCACAAAAGCACTACAGACGTGGCTTGATTTGTTGATACTGAGTAAAACTCATCTGTGCCATGCTGACGTGTTACTGGATAATTAGCGTAACAATACGTCATTCCTTATTCAAATTTCAGTTATCTCTCATTAGATTTATTTGTTTATATTATTTACAGTAAGAAATATCTATGACAATAAATCCCTTTTTTTCATTTTAACAATAAAACTTCAAACAAATACAAAACTTACAATAAAAAGTATAATAATTAAAACAATGGATAAAATTTATTCAAAATAAAAGCAAATATTTGGGTATTAAAATCAGCATTTATATTAAATAGAGCAGAAAATGTTCGGTTTATAATTTTAAAACAAAATTAAATACATTTTACGTTAACACAATATATACATTTTTACTTATAATTAAATACAGTCGACCCCCAATAACACCGTTGATTTTTCCGTTTTATATGAATTCCATGTTGTACGAGTCACTTAAATTTTACAAATACGTGAGCCATTCACAGCCCGGCACACGTGTTTGTAAAATCTAAGTAACTCGTACAACATGGAATTCATATAAAACGGAAAAATCAACAGTGTTATAGGGGGGTCGACTGTATTGTTTATAATAGTTGAATACGCATTAACAATAGAATTTATCTTTGTAAAAGTTTAATATACTTAATTAATATAACAGTATTAAACTATAAAATGTTTTAAAATTTTATCAGGCTTCTGTAATTACTCTATTTATTACCATTACTGAACTATATATTACGTTTAACTATTAGTGGCATTTGAATCATTTATCTTAATGTTCCATTTAATGGAACATCAAAGCTCTGAACTATTATTGTTTTTCTCTTTGTTAAATATAAATTAAAATTATTAATAGGATGAAATGATATAAATACAGGCTAAGAATATAAATAACTTCATGATTAGTGATGTGGGTTAGTAAAACTGAAGAAAATTCATCTTAATTTACAAACAACATAAAGTTTTGTTAACGATTAATTCAATATCAATTAATTATTTCATTTATTATAAAAATCCAGAAATTAGTTGCTTAACTTTTCCGGCAACATTTAAACCTGAGTATGTTTTATTTTGAGAATAGGGGTGGGTTTTATAAATATAAATGCTAATAACCGTCATTAAATCCGACCCCACTAGAGAAATAGCACACGACTCCCTTTTATTTCCCTACCCTCGCGACTTTTAACCACCAAAATTTAAAATCATCAATCTCCCTAATACACAAATCTCCCTGCAAAATTTCAGAAAATTTCGACAAAAAGCACAAGAGTTATTAAGCTTTAAATTGAGTGAATAAAATCATGCTTCTCCCCAGAAACACACACTAACATCAAACATACAGAAAAACCCAAAATATTTTTGCATTTTCGACATTTCAAAGTATCCTAAGTCCAAAAATGTAAAATTCTTGAGGGGTCATTTATTGACCACTAGCCATACTTTCCTTCTGTTATATATAACAGCCCGGAAAGTAATAGTTACAAGTATGCATTAACCTTTAAGCATGGTTTAAATCATTTTACCCGGTGTCCTTATTTTGAGGTTACGAATCCGAAAATGGCCTACATTAATACGGAATAATATTATGAGAATCGGGAGTTAAAGCAAAATTTATTTTAAATAGTCGAAAAAATCAAAGTATTATTTCGATGTTAAAAGTGACACTTTTTCACTTTTTGTTGATAAAATTCGACGTGAACAAGGAAATAGAACTTCCTTTTTTCGCCGTCCACTTCCTGGGGGAGATATTATCATCACCGATGACAAGAACACAAGGCTTGCACGACTTATCTAGATATCCTGTCAGATGGTCGAAATACTGACCCACA